CTTTGGTTCCTTTTGTTTATTGTTTTATTGTGAGTGGTGATTCGGTCGAGGGGGGGGGGGACCGTGACAGAAACACTCTGCCCTGACATAACTTGTGTTGAAGCCATTTGAGCTGTGCCAGGGATGGATGTGGCTGAAAACGGAACGGTGTATTAGGAGCATAAAGCAGAGAAAATAGGTCTAATTGAATGGACATCCAACCCTGATGATGAAGAGACTGAACAGAAGAGAGCGTTGGGAGCATTCATAAATCTGCTTGTGTGAGCTGGGCTTTGTCACTGGCTTATTTTATCGAAATGCCTGCGGCAATGAGGAGCTCTGGTTCTTTACATGAAGCAAAAGCTTTTCGTTCTGAGCTTTGAGATTTTCAGCTATTACCCTATGGAGAACACAAAGCAGAGCTCCGTGTGCCCTGAAATGCATGGAAAAGATACGCAGTGAAACTGTGCAAAGACCCCCACAATCATCACAAAGTGCAGCTTTGCAGAAGCTTAACCCTTTCTCTCCTGCATAGAGATGCTGGCTGCTACAACTTTGAGGCTCTTTAGCCTTATAGATGAACATTGGTATTGTAAGGGACTCTTTCTCTCCCACTTTAAGAAGGATTTCCATTCCAAACGGCTAATGATGCTAAGCAGGATAGCTGAGGCAGTGCACAGTAAAAGCTCTGTTATCTGGCACTCAGTTATCCAGAAAGCTCAATTAACCAGCATTTCTGTTATCTCCTAACACAAAACATCAGTCTATCAATCTGGACTGGTATACTGCCCAGTGTACTATGCAATTGCACAGTTGGTGCTTTGCTTTGATGGAAAAGAGGCAAATTACAGGTAAACCAGCTAATATCAGGGATTTATTCCAAAAAGCATCTTCCAGGATATGTTGCTGGGGGATTACAGATTCAGCCTAGTGCCCTACACCTTCTACTTCTACAAAGATAATTGATGTTGATACACACTGTAAGATCCTGAAGTACCTTCTGAAACAGGAAAGAAACATTAAATTATGTTCTGTGTTGTTTTAGGGTTAAGGGGATTGTTAGAGATCTGGGTAAATGCCATGCGCTGCCCATAGTGACATGGAGTGTGATAAGATAACCTACTCTATAGAAAACTTTCTCTGTATATACTTACATGCTTAAAGAAAGCACTTCTGCAGTGCTGCACTACTACTGGATGGGACAGTACCTGTATACCAGTGTTTCTCAACCTTTTTTTTTTAATAAAATATCCCTTTTTAAAAAAATTATAAGTACTCCCGAATACCTACAGTTTTCAGACACACAATTTTTTTTCTACTATTGCAACATGTTTGTTTAAACAACTTAATTATAGCCAGGTGGGCAATTAAATTTTGGGGTGTAAAAAGTACAAAAATAAAAAGTGCTGTAAAACTTAAAACAAAAATTCAGTTTTCTCCAAATTTCAGTTGTGTTGACATACCTCCAGACTTCTCTCGAGTCCTCCTAAGGGTACTCGTATCAGTGGTTGAGAAACACTGCTATATACTATTGTATACTTTATTCATTTTATTGGATTCTAATGCCGTGAAAATTGGCATTCCACTGGTAAAGTATAACACTCCGTTAACCAGACTAGTCAATTAACAGGTACTCCTCATTCCCCGCAACATGCTGGATAACAGAGCTTTTACTGCATTAACATGGCAACAAACATTCAACTACTGATTCTTGTTATTAGGATGATGGGTATCCTGGTCCATACATCCATGCATCTCTACATGTTTCCTGTGCAAGTCATTAAAGCTATCCTCTTCCCGCCCCCCACCTTATGGCCAAGATTAAATTCAGCTTTACTAGTTATATTTGAAAAACAACAGAAAATCAGAATACAGCCTCCCAATATTAATAGCAGCTTATCTCATAGTTGTGCCATGAGTAAAGGTGCATTTAGTACAGTAAAATATATTTTGCCCTCCCCCCTTCATACAATGATGTTCATTCACAAGCAGCTCTCATGTCTGGAGGGGAAACAGAAATCTAATACCAGACTAAGGTGAGTCTTGCTCGAAACTCGTTCATTGAAAAGAAATCATTTGCTGGATGTCCTCTCTGCAGGAGCCTAAGCAGCATATCAGTTTGTGGCAGCGTGTGTGTGAATTTTTAATAGATGCATATCGGGTGCCATCCTTTTCTTTCCGCACCTATTCCTGCCCATGTAGGAAAGAAAAGATGCAGAGGAAATTCTAAAGCCACACGAAGGGGAGAGGCAAATAACGCAAGGGATTCCCTCACTGCGAACACCCTCCTTCTTACATTTTTCTCATAGTCTGCATCTTGCCTTTGTCAAAAACTGTGGAAACGGGGTGGGGGAGGAAGAGACTTAATACATAGTACCTGTGACTAAAATCTAAAACGACAGCACTTAAAATAGATTGGCCCAAATTTATTCCCTGGGTAGCTGTTTTAACTCTGCAGTGGTGTTACCCTAGGGATGAATTTGGCACATTGCTTCCCTTGTGGAAAGCCAGCAAAGGTGGGCACTTTTAAAGAGGGGAGGAACACAGTTGAATTTGGACTTACTTTCAGCCCCATCAGGTAGTACAGCACGCTAATGACAGCCATGGGCAACACATAAAAGAGGAAGGAAGTGACCTGGATGATGCAGTTGTAGATCCACATGGGCACGACCACGGTGCAGGTAGCGGAGCCGGGGACCAGAGTGCCATTGGGGAAGTGTTGCAGCACGATGCCGTGGGTGCCGGTGTTGGGCAGCGAGAAGAGAACGGAGAGGATCCAGAGCACAGTGATTATCCTCCGGGCACGTTTCCGGGTGCTTTCCAGCTTGGCGCGGAAAGGATGGAGGATGGCTCTGTACCGTTCCACACTGAGGGTGGCCATGTTCAGAACCGCGGCGAAGCACACGGTCTCGAAGAGGGCTGTCCTGAAGTAGCATCCCACCGGGCCGAACAGGAAAGGGTAGTTGCTCCACATCTCGTAGACCTCCAGGGGCATCCCGAAGAGCAGCACCAGCAGGTCGGACATGGCCAGACTGAAGAGATAGTAGTTGGTCGGCGTTTTCATGTTCCGGTGCGTAAGGATCACCAGGCACACTAAAAGGTTGCCCATCACCCCAACCACAAAAATCAAGGCATACACCAAAGTCATGGGCAAAAACAGATGGCTCCGCTTGGGTCCATATAAAAAGGCTAGGTAGTCCTCCGTGCTGTTCAAGTATCTCCTGAAAACATCCTCCTTCATAGCGAGGTGATCAGAGCTGTTAGCGACCCAGTCCATTGCCGGTTCTGTTGAGAGCGCTCTCTACTCACTTCCAGTTTTTCTCGGGCTAGCTAATTTGCTCACTTCGATAGCCAGTGAAAAGAGGAGAGAGACTTACACACTATGTCCTGCCTGGCCTGACAGCACAAAGACACCGAGAGAGCTAAGTGAGTGAGTACGGCTGGATTCCGTTGAGGTTCTTGCTGTTCTAACTGCTGTTCTCTGGTGCAGCGTCCCTTAGACCGAAAGCCCCGCCTTTCACACATAGTCATTGGCCAGCTACATACATCGGATTCAGTGCTAATAAAGGAGGTCCTGGCTACTCATATCAGCTGCCTTGGCTGATGCATTTGCTGAATTAGAAATGTGGCATGTGTCTGAAATATTGGATGCGAGACCTTCTGCCAGAAGCTGGTTCTTGTCACAGGAGGAGAGACCAGCCATTGCAGGCTTAGTCTAAATGCTTTTACAAAGTTTGATGAAAGCTACCTCCAGCTGGAAGCCACAGAGAAAAATGACTGTCAAATATCAGAGGGGTAGCCGTGTTAGTCTGAATCTGCAAAAGCGGCGAGGAGTCCTATGGCTCCTTATAGACTAACTGAAGTGCAGGAGAAAAATGAGAAAAATGACTGTTTTTCCAGGGGCAGATTTCTATTTCACTATTGATTTTAGTAATCTGCTTTTTATGGCAACAAGCATTAGCAAACAGACAACTTCAATAGTTCAATGGCTAGAATGAGTCAAGCTTCTTTTTTTCATGTTTGCATGTATTTTTAAAGCAATGAAATTGTTTTTCTTGGTATCCAGCAAAGGATTTTATGCATACTTATTAGTAATTACAGGTATTTTTGATTCTAGCCTTTTGAGAGACAGCTTTTAATTTCTATGAGCATGGTTTGAGTGCTATTTCTGTCTTCTCCGAATCTCTTTGGCCTACTGATCTCTTGAAAAAAAAAGTTTCTTTCAGGGAAGATTTTTCACACTGTCTTGTCTGGCTTTTGTTGGATGATTCTAATCAGTTCACGCTTTCTCTCTGTCAATTCACAGCACCTCTTGATTCCTCCACAGCAACAAGCCTCCTTCCTATGTGTGAAACACACCTTCTGGAGTGCATGACTGTATCACACAAAGCTCAATTATCTCTTTATTAATGTGCAGATCTTTTTCTGAATTAGCATAACACAAACATTATTTCAAAACAAACAGTAAACATAGCCGGTAGAATGATCTTCCTGTTAAGATGCGTTTCATTGGCTGGAACCAGGGAGTAGTAAAAGGCTAGGTGGAAACTGATGACTTGTTGTGATCCAACATGCAACCTTGCCTGCCAATAACAAATTTTTCTCAGATCTTTGTGAGTGCAGGTTGAACCTTTCTCAGCCAGCACTCTCTGGTCCAGCAACATCCATGGTTCGGCATGATTTTTGTTAGCTGGATGTCTACTTAACATAGATCTTGCCAAGTTTCCTGCGGCCCCATAAAGTTTATTTACAGCCACCCATCCTGGCTCTCAGTGTTCTGTGCTGTTATTTAGCTCTAATTTATCCCTAAATGTCTGCTAACAGTCCAGTAAGCAGTGAAGTGTTGGTAATGCTGCTAGACAATACTAAACTATCGTGGTTCAGCAAACTGGTCTGTCACCAGTCTGGTCCCGAGGTTGATTGGCTAGAGAGGTTCAACCTGCAGCTAAGGACTGTTTTCTAGATTGTACATTTTAAAACCACTTAAAGCCGCCATTTTCGTGTGACCCACCAAAAAAGAATATGGGTGAAACATACCTATGGTTTGGGAGGCCAGGGCAAAGCCGTCTGCATCAGTTAAGCTCTGCACCGGGGTCATGTGTGTGGCTGGGATGAGGACTGAGGTGCAAAGGTCCTTTGAGGACAGAGGTTATGGACCCTCTGTGCTTCATAAGGCAACTTGCTCCCCCAGCCGCCACCTAAGAAGAATGCAGCCATGGTGGCACTCTATCGGCAAACCTTGGCACATCATCTCCCCATATGTCTGTACCCCCTATGCCAGAGGACCAGAAAGCAGTTGGCATACAACTGGCTATGTTGTGTACACACAACGTAAGGGGTCCTCCATACTCAGAAATCCTCAACAGTGTCATGAGCCTGGCTGAAAGTCCCTTTTGTGCTGTTCTAGTGGGACAAAGAGACATTGGTGTAACATCCAAATAGTAGACCTAGACTACAGATGGAAATGCAACTTTCCCATTGAGAACCATAGGAACTGCTGGCCCACTGTGAGCTCTCTCATTCAACGGCCAGACAGAAACATCTGGGGTTGGCCCCTAAGGAAGATGCAAGAAACCCTGCAGTCAGTGGTTATGAAATAACATGGTCACAGGGGGACCTTTTTCCTAAGCTGCTTTACTCAGTGTGTTAGGCTCCTGCCAATGCACAATCAACCTGTGGAACTCCTTGCCAGAGGATGTTGTGAAGAGTAGGACTTTAGCAGGGTTCAAAAAAGAACTAGATAAATGCATGGAGGTTAGGTCCATCAATGCGTATTAGCCAGAATGGGCGGAAATGGTGTCCCTGGCCTCTATTTGTAAGTCTGGGAATGGGTGACAGGAGAAGGATCATTTGATGATTCCCTGTTCTGCTCACTCCCTCTGGGGCACCTGGCATTGGCCACTGTCAGAAGACAGGATACTGGGCTAGATGGACCTTTGATCTGACCCAGTGTGGGCATTTTTATATGTTCTTACAAATTAATGGAGAATAGGACCATGAATAGCTATTAGCTAGGATGAGTAGGAACGGTGTCCCTAGCCTTTGTTTCTCAGAGGCTGGGAATGGATGATGGGGTAGGATCACTTGATGTTTATCTGTTCTGTTCAATCCCCCTCGGAGGCCCTCGCTTCGGCCACTGTTGGAAGACAGGATACTGAGCTAGATGGACCTTTGAACTCACCCAGTATGGTTGTTCTCATGTATGTTCTTGTGTAACTTATGCTGGCTATTTGACAGCAAAAGCTAATGGGACTGGATACCAAGTGTGAAAATTCAGGCCACTAATTTGAGGGGGTGGTTCCCACCTACCCAGGTGGAAGAAGTGGATGAGGCTTTTTTTAAACAACTAACAAAATCATCCAAAGCCCAAGATTTGGTGGTGATGGGGGACTTCAACTATCCAGACATATGTTGGGAAAATAACACTGCGGGGCACAGACTATCCAATAAGTTCTTGGACTGCATTGAAGACAACTTTTTATTTCAGAAGTTTGAAAAAGCTACCAGGGAGAAAGCTGTTCTAGATTTGATCCTAACAAATAGGGAGGAACTGGTTGAGAATTTGAAAGTGGAAGGCAGGTTAGGTGAAAGTGATCATGAAATCATAGAGTTCACAATTCTAAGGAAAGGTAGAAGGGAGAACAGCAAAATAGAGACAGTGGATTTCAGGAAGGCGGATTTTGGTAAGCTCAGAGAGCTGATAGGTCAGGTCCCATGGGAATTGAGACTGAAAGGAAAAACAACTGAGGAAAGTTGGCAGTTTTTCAAAGGAGTCATATAAAAATGGAAAGCAAGACAAATTACAAAGGATGAATACAGGCAGTCCCCGGGTTACGAGAGAGCTGATAGGTCAGGTCCCATGGGAATTGAGACTGAAAGGAAAAACAACTGAGGAAAGTTGGCAGTTTTTCAAAGGAGTCATATAAAAATGGAAAGCAAGACAAATTACAAAGGATGAATACAGGCAGTCCCCGGGTTACATACAAGATAGGGACTGTAGGTTTGTTCTTAAGTTGAATCTGTATGTAAGTCGGAACTGGCGTCCAGATTCAGCACCCCACCTGCTCTGCCACAGGCCCCGGGCTTTGCTCCACATCTCCCTGGTCTGCTGAGGGGGGCACTAGCTGCGTCCCCCCCAGCAGACCAGAGAGACGCGGAGCAAAGCGGCGGAGGACCCGGGGCCGGACCCCCGGCGCTTCCAGATCAGCTTGGGGACTGCCTGTAGTTAAGCATTAGTAGCTAGCTTAGGCAGGGGGCCTTCTTGTGCATCACACACCAGGACCTGATGAAATGCATCCTAGAATACTCAAGGAGCTGATAGAGGAGGTATCTGAGCCTCTAGCTATCATCTTTGGAATATCATGGGAGACAGGAGAGATTCCCAAGGACTGGAAAAGGGCAAATATAGTGCCCATCTATAAAAAGGGAAATAAGAACAACCCAGGAAACTACAGACCAGTTAGTTTAACTTCTGTGCCAGGAAAGATAATGGAGCAAGTAATTAAGGAAATCATCTGTAAACACTTGGAAAGTGGCAAGGTGATAGGGAACAGCCAGCATGG